ATTATTATTATTATTATTATTATTATTATTATTATTATTATTATTATCATCATCATCATCATCATCTAACAAGGGGATTGAATGGAAAGACTGCCTAAAAACACCCAGCCAGTGCTGAATCACCACCTGCAAAATAAAAATATAAATCTGAAATACCCAGTTTGTTCTTCCTGGTGAACTTATTGCAATTTCCTCCTTTGAAGTCGACTTTGATTTATTTTATTAAATTGATCTGCCGTCCATCCCATCAAGAAACACCATGCCCTAATTGCATTTTTTTTTTTTTTTATAGAGAGCGAGCAGGTATTTCATTCCTTTTTATAATCTCAATTTTTCCCCTTGTAAAGTGTTTCTATTTGCAATTCCCCCACCCCCCCAAATAAAATCCTGGGGTTCTTTTTTTTTTGCTCTTCTTTCAATGCTTTGTTCCCTACTGTATGATCCATATTTTCATCCTTCTTTTATAAAAAAAAAAAGAAAAGGAAGAAATTGACACCACTTTGGATTGCAAGGCTCTGGTTTGAGAGAGCTTTATCAATAAATCATTAAAAGGCAGCAAAATCCTGAATTGCAGATCCTGCAATTGAAAAAAGGAAGTTTTGAGGTTAGGTCGGTTTTCAATCAAAAACCCACAAAACTCTCTCTTTTTTTCCAATCCTTTCCTTCCTTCCTCTCCTGGAGGAAAATACGAGCTGGTCGAAAGCCAGAATAATGTGATTTTTTATTTATTATTATTATTATTCCTTTGTCAAGGTGGGATTCAAATTCACAGTTCCTGTGGGTGGATCTGCCTTAAATCTGATCTGCAGAGAGAAATCGTGTGAGGGCTGAACAAAGCCTCTTCTTGTTCAAAGAGTGCTAAGCCGGTTGAGCTGCGGCCTGGTGCTTCTCAATTGTTTGCTGCCTTTGGAGACAAAGAGTTGCATTCTTTGTGGGTTGTGTCACACTCACAAGGTTGATTCTTCAGCCTTACAGAATAACCACTGGGTCAGTAGGTCCAAATTTCTGCAAATTTAAGATGGGTGGACTTCCAACTCGCTGAATTCTTCCGCCAGCAAGAGTTGAAGTTTCAACCATCCTAAACTTACTCAGGTTCAGAAACTGCAAAATAACAACAACAACACAATAATTGCTCCTAAATCTAGCTTGGTTTGCTCACCTCTCAAGACAGCCACTTACCTTGGACAAATTTCCTTCTTTTGTTTATTCCTCACTAATAATGATAAATCCAGATGGTGATGGTCTTGCCACCATGGATTTGTGTGTTCCTTTCTTGGCAGTTGTGTTCCTTGTTAAGTGAGAGACTGGTGATATCTGAATTTACATTTATATAGATTCATTTTTTTTTTCTTAGGAAATATTTTTGGGTACCCATACCTGCTCTGGAAATATTTATGAATGAATATTTTACTATCCTGAATTAAAGGATTACAAGGTCATAAAAAGGGAGTTTGTTTGTATCCTGCCTTTATTATTGTTTTTACAAATAACTGGAGGCAGCAAACACCCTGAATATTTTCTTGGCTAATGGATGGCTGAGTTCTCATCAAGGCTGTTCTTTTTTAAAAAATATATAGATTTTAAAATGTGGATTTTAATGTGCTTAAAGCTTTTGCTTCCTGTTTTGTGGGGTTGGATGGCTGGAATTTTTATTTTCTGTATGCCCGTCTAACTCAATAGCAAGCAGAGGGTAAATAGATGTATATCTTAATATATATTTAGTCCTCTCATCCTCAATAAAATTAGAGTGGCTGTAAATGGGAGATTTGTGGCTTGGCTTTGCAACTTCAATTTTCAATGCAGAGCTCCCTACCCATATAAAAATATAGATGTATTTGATTGTGATTTCCTAATGGGGGTTATTTTCGTGAATATTATTCCACATTTGACAACGGATGCTTTCCAAAGCTTTCCTCTTTCCTGCTCAAGTTACTAGTCCTCACCGTTTCCAAATCTAGGAAGATGGTTGAATTCGATGCACCTGAAGCACCAGGTGCATTGAATTCAGGTGCATTAAATTCAACCATCCTTGGTTTGGAGGATGGTTGAGTTAGGAGAAAAGAGGAGATTATAAAGTTGGGAGAATATATATTAGGAGGTAGAGAAATGGAAATGAATAAATTGAAAAATATTTTTGGAAAAAAGGATTAGGCAGGTTTATGGGATGACTGGCAGCAAAAAATTAATGGGGATGAAAATGATGGTTGGGTTGAATATGAAAGATGTAGATAAGGACCTAAGGGAGGAGTATGGGACGCAAGAGAAGAAGTGAAACTTTCAAGAGGATGAGAGAAAATGGATAGGAAGGATTCTTAAAAAAAAAAAACAAGATTGGCTATATTAAAAATTAGAATATTTAAGAAATTAGGAAATAGGGAGAAGATTGTTATATATATTCTTACGTAACATATTTAAAGTGAATGTTAGAGGTTAAGATCAGATTTTGAAAGAGGATGTTATCAGGTATGTTAAAAAATAATGCTATTAGAAGGATGTAGCAAATATTGACTAATAGAAAAATGA